CCAAGTCAAATTGTGCCTTCTATTTTGAGACGGAGGCAGACTACTTAATTATCCCAATCCCTTATCATTTTCAATATTAATGCTCTCAGGTTTCATTTTCGTTCCACACATATACTATTTTCGTAAAGCTATGTAAAGCAAAACCATATATAATAATGTTGTAAAACTCAGAGGATCATCGTCTAAGACCAGTGAGAACCTCCTAGAACAATCAAAACTTCACCCATACACTACTACAAGAAAACTAAACGCAGTGGAACATGGATGCTGATGAACTATTCATACTGTGTAGCAGGAGGGTATATAACAGGGGCTCCCAAGGTAGGCTCACCCCTCCCCTCCGCTGGTGACCATCTAGTCCTAGCGTCCACCTTCCATTAGCAGGTGACCTCCTGCCCTCAGTAGCCAGAAACGTGGAACATGGCCACGTTCTCTGTTTAGGAATGTCGTTTCGGGAACATTACGCTCCCATATCATAAAGTATCGCTTTAAGTTTCCGTTTCACGTCCCATTTTCTTCTGGGAACATGTCTGTTAAGCTCCTGGCCTCGACAACCACCCTCCTCCCCTGTCCTACTCAGTCTATGCCCTCAGACCATACCTCTCCACATTAAAATAAATACCCTCTTGCCCCCTTGATCCAGCTCCATCTCGTTCTCTCGGGATGCCTTTGATCATGCTGCTCGGCGAGGAGCTGAGGACAACATGGGAGAGAACGTTTGTGCTTGCCTTTTTTCTTCATTTGAGATTTGACAAGAGTTTGATAATAATTATTACAAAGAACTCTATTTAAAGATTATCAAACTCATTAGTCATTTAATTGTTTTGTCATTCAACCACTAAAACCCACTACAAGGGCTAGATGCACTTTAAGAGCCAACGTTGGCAAAGATGCGTGAGGCCGCTCTTGGCTTTGTCAAAGAACGTGTAGGGACCGAAGGTGGTTGAGGTCTGGCCCGACGCTTTAAGAGCCAACGCTGGCAAAGATGCATGAGGCCGTTCTTGGCTTTGTCAAAGAGCGTGTAGGGACCGAAGGTGGTTGAGGCCCGGGCCGACGCTGCAGGAGAAGTCAGAGCAAGATCCACTGTACAGATGAGTTTCTTCTTCATCCGTGACTACGTCAAAAATGAAAGGCCAGATGAGCGTATCTTGAAAGACTCCGGCTGTCAGAGATTGCACGAGGGCCACCGCTAGGCATGCTTCACCGTGTAGGGGGCTGCTGCCAAGCCAGCCCTAGTCCTGTGGAGAACCTGAGGCGGAGGACCTAACTGTGGTGCTGAAGACTCACTGAGTATCTCCTACCTGGAATGAATAAGTACTAGCAGTAGCACAATAGGCGCGCTTTCGCTGCGCCGGTTTTGAGGCCACACCACCGGGCAACGTGGCAGGTCACGCGAAATAACAAATCTATCGTTGGCAGTTTTTTTTTTTGGGTAAATGAGCAAAATGTTAGCTTGCTGTATACGGCATGAGACACGATTAAGAAAGCATGTGACTAAAAGCTGTGACAGAATAAAACCATTCATGATCTATAATACAATTAGAAATAACAGGATGGTATTTATATATAATATATAATAACCTGAACATGGTCGCTGGACAAAAGAGCAAAAAAAAAAAAAAGTTTGCAAGGCATAACACAACATCAATATATAAAGTATGCAAACTCTGCAGGCACCGGTACATTATATTCACTGAGGTTGGGATTATAGGAATAACCAAATGCGGCACAGGTCGGATCTTGATTACAATGTGCTAAATACTGGATTGGGGATGCAGTGAAAAAAACCTATACGACCAAGTCTATTATTCATCAGCAAAATATTGTGTCATCCTTTTTAGGCTCCCATCTGACAAATAATACTGTCCCCTCAGATTGGTCTGCACAAATATGATCCATTATCTACAAAAAATACAGATCAGTATCATTGTAAGAACGGTTTCATAATAGTGGCAGTGGCAATTCCTGGGTCATTAAACCATGCAAATTGAGCACCTTGTCTCTAAAGTTAGGCTTCAAAAATTATTCACTGATTAAAAAGATTAAAAAAATAGGGGTATTATAACAGGCTTATCTCATCATGGTATATTAAATTACATTTAAAGCAATTCCTTAAAATGGTTTTTTGCAGCTGGCCAATATTTATGCCTATAGTTAATATAAGATCAAAGAAAAAATTCTCTTATATGAGAGTATTTTTTCTTCAAGAAAATATATAAGATGATGAGACCAAAAGAAATGCTCTGTAGAGAGCCTTATATGTTCATGAACAATTAGATCCATGAGGGGCTCGGTGTAATAAGTAATTCTAATTCTAACATCGTTCACATTGTCACTCTTAAAAAACAAACTTCACAGGATATGATGCTACTCATGTTGCATAGTATCATAATAATGTGTAACACAAAAATAACTAAAAATGTAATTTTTGACAACATCAGATAAATAGAGGGCGGGTAAATCTACCAAATAAGACCTGATGATGGACTGATGGAAGTAGCACTTTGGCTTCTCAGTAATGCTATCAATTAATGGCATTTAGAGGTACCCTTTGTTGGGCTATCATCAGTAGAAAGATGAGCACAAATTTAGCATAAGCAGTTGACGAACCTATATACTGGAATGAGAAAAATAGTATTAACGTGGTGAGGAAGCACTAACTCACCTATTGAACAGGACCACCATGCACTCATGTTTGGCCCTTGCTGAGAGAAGGAAGAGGAAAATAGTGGGAATTGAAAGATAAATCCCCAATAGTCGGAATTGAAACATAAATCCCCTATTCATATTAGGGTACTACCGGCACAAATCCTGCATAAGCACTTGGAACAACCTATATACTAGAATAAGAAAAATGATATTAATATGGTGCGGAAGCACTAATTCAATTATCCAACAGCAGTACCATGCAGTCATGGTTGCCCCTTGGTAAGAAAAGGAAGAGGAAAACAATGGAAAACTGAAGAGAAATCCCCATTCTTATTAACATAAACATATGGAGTTCTAAAATTGCTCGTATATACAACATACATCTCTTGTCATGGAACTGTAAGAGACAACAGAGATTTAATTAATACGATAAATTTCAAGTGTACCCATGATAATTGTCTTCCTGTTTTTTTCTTACTTCCAAGCTAGTGATTACATAGTGCTAAGAATTTTAAATGGTGGGTTACAAATGCATTCCTTGGTAGTAACTGATTCAGGTCAACAGAACCTAACATGGCTTTCCTCAGGAAAATGAGTACATTATTATGGCAGCCTCATGACTGAAAGCTATCTTTCGAAAATAGTAGCCACACAGGGAGGTAGACGATACATGGCCTCTTAATATTGCAATGAGGATCCAAGAAGAGTGGATAGTAAAAAAGAGTCAAGTAGGAAGAGGAATACATCTGAAAGAGTACTTCTTATAGTTATCTTAGGCATGTTTCATCTACAACCAGTGCACTGCTTTGACTGGTACCGGTGATTTTTACATTATATGTAAATACAATAGCCTAACATGCAGAAGAAACTACCTGTGATCTGGATTGGCAGTGCCTGATAGGATCCTTTTTCATGAATCAACGGGCAGGATATCCTATGTATAGGAAAACATCAACAGACCACCATAGATCAGAGCAAGCACAAAAAACGATCAGGCACAGTAAGATCAACAAACCTTGCAGAGTCTCTGTAGTCTAAATCTTCTAAAGTATGAGAAGTCACATGCTAAGACATTTTAGCTTTTATAATGAACAAATATATAACTTGAAATCTCCATGGGAAAATCAATATCATAAGACACCAATATTATTAGAACTAACACAAGAAAGCTATTTTTTAATGATTGGCAAATGGTATGTACCTGATATGTGCCCTGGCTGACATACACAATTGGCCTAGCACCATGTCGTCTGATCCTTGCCCTATAATAGTTCTAGTGAATTCAAATAAGACGACTAAATAAATAATTTGATCATGAAGGTGCACAGAAAGGCCATCTCTATTAGTAGCAGTAAAATCATTGACTGAGAAAACCAGTTTTGTTGAATTGCACATCGTCCGTAAATACCATGGGAACAGAACAATAGGTAATTAGCATAAGCATGCAACAATAGCTAATTAGCATAAGCATCGAAATAATATCTAATTGGTAAATGTTGGAACAAATTTGAGGGGAAAAAATCTATGAGCAATAGATGTAGATATATGTACCAACCTATAGCCGACAATCAGCATATCCCACAAACATATGTCAATATGAGTGGAAAAAGGGAAAAGGCTAACTTGCAGCATGAAGATATACATAGCCCTTGTTTAGTTGGGTGAATTTGGATTTTGGGGCTACTGTAGCACGTTCGTTTTTATTTAGCAAATAGTGTTCAAACATGGACTAATTAGGCTCAAAACGTTCGTCTCGCAATTTCCCACTAAACTGTGCAATTAGTTTTTATTTTCGTCTACATTTAATGCTCCATGCACGGGCCGCAAACATTCGATGTGACAGGTACTGTAGCAACTTTTTGAACTTTGGGGTCTAACTAAACAAGGCGATAGTCAAGTATTATCTCACACAGAGCCATGCATTTTTGTTATATCTACCAGAGCATATATGGAGGCAAGCACACATGGCATGAATTCTAAATAAAAAATACAGGCTTCAAAATAGAAGGTAGGATAGCAGGAACTTACCAAGGATCAGTCACCGCACAACATTTTCCTCTTCGCACCAGGCAGGGACCTGAACCTGAAACACAACACCACACAATCTGAATGTGTTCGTAAGTTTAAGGCGCACGATAAAGCAACACATAGGAATAATCGATCAACGGCGGTACACACCACCACGACAGACCAAGTACATTACAGACTGGCTTGGGTGACCACAGCCACAAAAAATAGACAGACAACCAACTCGAGTAGAAGGCAGGTCCAGATCGGAGAGCAGATCAAGATGCGGGAGGGGACACAAACCTCAGGTGGCGAGGTACTCGAGGACGGCGGTGAGGCAGACCATGGGGAACCCCGTAGTTAGCGGCGGAGATGAGGAGATGAGGGCGGCATGTGGCCGGCGCTTGTGCCCCAGGCCTGCCCACGCCCCAAGCGCCGTCGCCGTCCCTGTCTCTTCGTCCTGGTGCGCCGCGCAGGCGCCGGCGGGGCCCGGTCGTGGCATCCGCACGCGTTGCGACCGGGGAAGAGGAAGAGGCGCTGAAGCGATCCGCGCGCGTACCTGCCAGGGCCACTACGATCCGGAAAAGGAAGAGCGCGCCGCGGCTACGGAAGAGGAAAAGGCGAGGAAGTAGAAGCGGAGGCGGAGGCGGAGGCGGGGGCGGGGTACGGTGCTTTCTCGCGGAGACGTCGAGGTGAGGCGTATTTTTTTTAAAAACTTTGATAGGTGAGATGGAGGGGACGGAGATTTGTTTCCTTCGCGAGGAAACTATATGACACCCAAACCTTAAAAGATTTAAAATCAGTCTCCAACAAAATATCTATACGAAAAATTTATTTTAATTTATCTGAGAGGTACAATCTAAATATGGGTATCTTTTTTCTGAAAACCTATTTGCAAAAATAATTCTTTTTTAGATCTTATTGTTGGAGAAGATGCCAAATAGATATTAAACCTTTTGTCTATGACGCTACCCAAAGGACGAATGAGTCTTGTATTTTAGGTGTTGTTGTTGGAGATATCCTTAAACTGTCTCCAACGATTGATACCCAAAATACAAGACCCATTTCACGTTTGGGTAGCGCTACAGTTAAAGGGTTTAATATCAATTTTCAGTTCTCCAACAACAAGATCCAAAAGAGAACCCTTTCTGTAAATAGGTCTTCAGAAAAGATGATACTCAAATTTAGGTTATACCTCTCTTAACACCTAAAATAGATCTTCTATGTAGGTACTTTATTAAAGACTATAAATATTATGTTGGAGACCTATTTTAAATTTGGGTCTGTCGGTCTACCCGACTATGAAGAGAATCGGAAGGCCCTCAGCAGCATCTAATTAGAGCGACACGTGTCACGTAGATACTGGCCAACAGGAGCTGAATCCACGGGTGGCCTCCAATTTATTCGCGTTTGACCGTACCTTAATATCTTAACACAACTAAACATGTTTTTTATTTTGTTTATATACACTAACCACCCGGTGATACAACGTTATAAAAACGCCAATTCAAGCCACGTGGTTTTCTTAATGCTGTCGAGTAAAGTGATTATAACTGCTATCATTTTTTTCAAAAGAGATATCCACCGCCATTTCACCCTGTTCAGTGGCATGTAAGGCCCTCCATAGCGCGGATTAGTCCCCCCCCCCCAAAAAGGACCACACAAAGAAAGAGTTGGCACCATACTTCAAAGATCACAATGTATTACACTACATTAGAATAACACTTCACTGCTGGTTCAAAATACTCCATCACCGTTAGATTTTAAACCGGCATAGTCATATCGGCAGCGATGAAGGTAAGCTATCACTGTCGGTTCCTATAAACCGGCAGTGTTCTTCAATTTTACTACCGGTTCTTTATAAAACCGGCAGAGTTCAGTTCCACCAATACTGCCGGTTCATAAGACCACCGATAGAGTTCAGTTCCACCAACACTGTCGGTTTGTGTTTCAACCGGCAGTGTTGTCGTAAGAATCACTGTCGGTTTGTGACAAGAACCGTCAGTAATGGCTAAGCCAACGCTGCCGATTTGTGGCTCCAGCCGGCAGTGCCATCACTGTAGATTTGTTGCTAACCGACAGTGATGTTTACGACAACACTGCCAGTTTTTTGCTAACCGACAGTGATGCCACGTTCGTATTTTATTGTTTTATAATTTATTTTAATTTATATTTTTTGTGGAATCGGGTTTCGCTTTATATACGCTACGTAGATGACATGTCCATCAATATTAAACATTACAAATGTTACGGTTCTAGTTCAAATATTCTTATCAAGATCTCGATCTCTCAAAATAAAAAAGAAATGTTCTTGGACTTCACAAATTGTGCAATGCTTCTCGGACGTCTTACAATAATCTGGCGAGCCGCTCTGGACCATACTGGTCCTTGAACTTTACGGATTGTGTAATGAAAAATACTCTATCTTTTTCTAATACCTTGGCTAAGATGAATTTTGTCAGCTCCAATTGCAGCGCGACGATCTCCATGTCTAACAGTCTTTCATGGTTATATTTCTTGCGCTGTCGTTCAAAAAAGATGATATCAAAACAAAATCAGTAAATTATTTTGTTGAATAATTAACAGACATAAATAAAATAGGGATTATACACACCAACTTATTGACTTCTTCCGATTTCCCGCCGATGTAGCGAAGCATTGCCCATATTACATAAAACCCGCATTCATTGTTTTTCACTGACTGTTTTAGGTATTTCACCTCCATTTCGACAACCTTGAATGGAACCTGCGTCCCACCGATATGTCTTCTTTGGACACTGAGCAACATTAAAAGGAGAAACGTTAGAAAGCGGTATGTGTGATTAGACAATAATATGTTATTAGGATCGCTTACTAATTCAGCACCGCCACCAGTACATCCAGATGATGAAATGGGTTTTTCTTTGAGTCCCATACCTCGATCAGATTTTTGGCAAGATTAACACAAATGAAGACGAAATGATGGCTGCAATCACAGAATCCTAATTATCGAATAATCTTAACAAAAAAAGAAGCATAAAATTAAAAGTCGAGAACACATACTCGCAGTTGTAGACTAGAAGTATGTGTATTTTATTCTTCATCTTGAATTCATCGAAAACAGCAATCAATCTCTATTTCAGGTATTTCACGTCACATCCATGGAGACCTAGACATGTCTTCTCATTGACTCGCAAGGGGTCCAAGAAGTCTATGTTATCCTATTTACTTTTTAGAATGCAAATTTTTGCTATATACCTACATAAAATCATAGGAAGTGATCAAAAGTTAACAATTTATGTCCCGAGAGAGTAGTTAATTATAATATTGTGCATGTAGGGTACTTACATAGTCCACAGCGTCAACATTTGTGTATCGAGAGAGCGTTTCTGGTATAGCTGGAACAAGAACTCCCACTCGACATCGAACTCCTCTTCTTCAAGATAATTAAAAACATGTGGCGAACGGATAATAACCTCAAAACCAAAATCCTCCATCTCTGTTGTTTGAGCCATGTAATATTCATGCAACTAGCGCATATATGTTGTCAAATTTTTATACTCATGATCGGGAACCAAAAGATTGCCCCTTTCATACTTCATTGCTGGTGTTCCCATCCCTTGTACATCATAATAGATGTTCGCGGCCCCTTCCATGGTTAATTCGGGGTTGTCTTCGACGAACTTCTGTATCTTCCTTAAATCTTCATTGTGTATTTCATCGGCTCTTGTTGTAGCGTACGGATTCTGTGTTTGCCTTTCGAATTCGGACTTCAACAAAGACAGAGGCAGTGAGGCACAGAGATTGAAGAAACTAATACAATCTTCCTTCGAGATGTGTGCTGTAAATTTTCCTTCCATCAAGTTTGTAACGCTGCCACTAAACGGTCTTTTTCTTTTTTGTTGGTCCACTTTGGGAGCATTAGTGATCGAATCCAATGACCTTTTCTACGACTGCGAGGATGCCTTTGATCTTATTTTGGGCTGAGGTGAAGGAGGAGGAGGATGACGATGAGAATTCTGTTTTCCCAGGGCTGGTGAAGATGGAGGAGGAGAAGGAGTCTTCTCTTTTCTCGAGGCTGATGAAGATGGAGTCGGACGAGGATGAATAGAAGGAGACCTCTGTCTTCTCAGGGGTGATGGCAAGGGATGAGGAGGGGAGTAATCTCTGTTGGGAGATGATGAGTGATCATCGAGGGTGGGCGAAGACTCATAGTCGTCCTCATCATCAGAGGACAATTGGTGATCAAGCTTAATGAAGCGCTTGCACCAGGCCACTTGAGAGCCCTTGTTATGATCAAGTTTTGGCCTGTCTTCCGCTACGGGATACTCAATGTGTATCTTGATATACTTCTTATCAAGTATTCCGTCAATGGTGACACGAGCGTACCCCTGTGGAATTGGGCGACCATTAATGGTTCCGTCTCCCACAGGCCAGGCCTGGCTGAGTGCCACCTTGTCCTTTGTCCATTCCTGACGGATGTACAACTTAACATTGATGGGTTCAGTGATGCCGTCCACCGGATGAGGCACATTCGCATCTTCGTCGAGCGAGGTTGATCCGCAGCAGCTGCGACCCCTAAACTATGGGCTAAAGGTAGTACGAGTAGGGTTTTGTGGTACTCCTGACCCCTTGGACGGCAAAATTTGCTGAACTCGTGCTTCAACAGTCGCCTCAATCCGTGCATCCATTCTTTCTTCTATCTCTTTTAGTCGCCTCAAATACTCTGCCTCCTGATCCGCTCTACCCCTCGAGCAGCTTCGGTAAGTGTTAGATTCTTGGGGGAATGCTAATTTCCAAGGAACAACACCGGTTCCTCTAGTGTGACCAGGGTGCTCCTTGGTTTCGAGTGCTTAGGTGAGCACGTCTTTCTCCCTATTAGAAGTGTGAGTCCCTTATCTCACATCCTCAGTTACCTAGGAGATCCTCTGGATGAGTTCGCTCATGGGTTGATTTGTGGAGCTAAAGCTCCCGTCCTCTGCGTGGCGTACATTCCTCCCCATACAGTATATTACTGATCTTGGCTCCCAATCAACAGTCTCAACCTGAACGCCTTCCTTAGCAAGGTGATCCATCTTTTCAAGTTCTACTTTAAATTCTGGCATCTTTTTGGCGTAGCCACGAGAGCCGAGATGATGAGGATTCATCGCTTTCTGCGAGTTCTCCTTATTCTTTCTGCTCAGTTCTAAGTACTCCTCGGATAACCTGTATTCCTTGAAATCCTGCCAGAAGCCCTTCTGCTTGCTAAACTATCCACCATCGAAATTTGGCTCTTTATTTTGGAGGACAAAATTCTTGTACAATGTCCCCTTGAAATTCTTGAAGCATGTCCCCATGATTCCTTTTGATTTTTTCTTGACTAACTCCTTGTCATACTCCGTTGGGAAAGTGAAATACTCTAGGATCTTGATATTCCATATGTAATCCTTCTCACTTTTGGGAACCCTCCACGGGTCATCATCTTTCCCAATCCACTTCCTGTACCTAATCGGAATGAAGTCCCTAACAAGTAACCCGAGGATAGTCTTGTATTTGGTCAAAGCTATAGGCGGTGAGAGTGAACCCCCGAATTCATCGAACTCAGTAATGTGCTAGTGTGTATTCCTACCAACAGGAATGTTTGACATGCCTCGCTTGGATCTGGCCTTCCTGC